AAAAATTCTAAAATTGAGAGAAAGTGAATTTCGGGTTTTCGTCCTCTGGAAGCCATAATCATAATTTCAAATAATAAAGCCTTAAAATACACTGCTTGACCATAAAACAGTGGCCACCGCCTCAAAAAATAGTCACGCACTAATATTTCTTTGGACAACCTTTTGATTTAATTAAAGCTATAGTGGAGGATGTTCTTTTTCCAGGTGGATCATCAAAATAAGTGGTCCTCCTAATTGTCAATCATTCTGATGATATGTTTACGTAAGGCCTTCCCACGTGCTCGTCTCCATTATCATGTACTGGTGGTGAGTCTGACATAGTGGAAAAATTGCAAATCTTCTTTTAGTAAGTAAGCTTGTACGAGCGATGCAAACAGCAACTTTTAGACAGAACGTGTATAATGAGAAATGGGCTTGTGCACATTCTCACTTGTGTTTAATAGGCGTTCCCTCTCAAGAGCTGGTACAGGGTTGTGCATGTGTATTTTTTTTTTTTTAAGTGGAGAGGGCGGGTCTTTTCAAAAATTTGCAGAAATCCTCCACTATACCTTTAAGTTATGCATTAGCCCTGGTATTGTTTAAATAAGCTTATGCAGTCTCTCAAGATTAATTTCTAGCCAGTATTCAATTGAAGAGGAGTCTGGCTCCTCCTTTTCCAGCACATCCCAAAGTTTCTGCGTGGGGATGAGGTCTGAACTCTGTGGTGCCCGATCTATGACGTCTCATCAGGGGAGGATCTAGGATTCTAGGAGATCAGGGGCTTAGCCCCGAGGGTGAAGATGAGCATGTAGACTTTCTGCTAAATCCCGTTCTAATGTAAAATATGACAGATTACTGGATTAAAGAAATTTCTAGTATGCTACATGCTATCACACATAACAATTCCAGCTCCACAACATGGATAGAAACTCATTTACCTGCAAGTCTTAACTGTGTTTATTTCTTTCTTCAAGAACAAGCTCTGTGGAGACATTTCATCATTATTTGCCAAAGTTATGAAGGGGAAATCATATATTTTAGCAACCTGATATAATCTGCTCCCCCATAACATGGGAAAAATTAAACAAATCCTGTGAATTTTGAAACTGTCATTATTTTTCTATATTATGTTTGAAACATTTATTATTGTATATTTTGAAATCTTAAATAGTTAATAAAAATATGTCAATTCTCAATTCAAAATGTCTGGAATAGCATTACTTCAGACATTTTGAATTTAGAAAGCTCTCTGGATGGAAAACGAAACATCTTCAAACTTGGAAAACAAAGTCCAGTTGTTTTGGTTTGAACTTTTCTTTTGAAATATATTTGTAAATTGTTAGATAAACATTTAAACAGAAAATAAATTTCATAAAGATCATCAAAGGGGAAACGGATTATATCAGGTGGCTAAAATATATACGATTTCCCTCATAACTTTGGCAAATAATGATTTAATGTCAC